TTTTCTATCAAAATCCTCTTTGCACAGCACTATAAGAACAAATCACACGGCACTATATTTTTAATAACAAATAAAATTTCAAAAACACTAAAAAACAAGAGATGGGAACCTGAGAAAAACACTTCTATAATCCGCGCTTTTGCCCGACGTCTGCCGTCTTCCAATGTTGCCAATCTCAATGAAATCAGAAGAAGCATAAGTACTACTTTATCATAATAATTTGAAATATCCGCACAAAGCATGTAGTTTTATTCCATCATGGAACTAGAACAAAAAACATCAACTACCCAAATATTTGACATCATTCACATTCTTCGTCACCAAAATAATACTACTACTTACACGAGAAACGAGAACATATATATGGGATGCTTTGCTTCTTTCTCAAAACCACTAGAAAATAGATCCGGCAACAGTGTCAGCAACGATAGACGCATCACGCATCTCGATTAACCAATCACAAAGCCAGAAAATAGGTGTTTGTGACATTTTGTGATCAGGAGAAGCATGAGGAGAAGCTAGGCGCCTAGACCGTTTTATCCTGTACGGGGGGAGCTCAAAAATTGCAGCCAATGCAGAACGTTCAACAGACCATGGCGTTGATATCCATTATCCATACGTGTTCAGTGTCAGTTTTGTTTACAAGATAAGTTGTTAGATCATTCGAGCACAGTGATATTGAATTCGTTTAATCGTTTTCTACATATTTTCATAGGCACCACAACTTTTTACCATTTTAATAATAATTTTGTCTAAATAGATATTTACGTATCAAGTTAGGAAACAAAACAAATGAAGCAAAGAGTAACAAAAATGCGTTTTCCTCCGATTGGCAGCAAATATTAATTTTGCTGACACATATCGATCAGCAAAGTATTACTTTTCCTGCCTAGGCAGCAAAGTGGTTAGGTACTTTGCTGATTGATATGTATCAGCAAAATTTAAAATCCATAAATCGTTTATAATTTCCTTCATATTCCATCCGAGACTTCTCCGGCAACAAATTCAACTCTATATTTTTTGCCCCCTCCCTTATTAATGGAGGTGTAAGTAAACTTCCAGGTCGCTATCACTGTCCATTATATAATAATTTAAATATACCGATATTTTTTCGCACAACTGTCAGAAATTTCATGAATTGTCAAACCAACAACTGCGATTTCCATCAAATTTTATTTTAATTGAACACTATAAAGGGAGAATAAAGAGATTGTGGGAATTGTATTAATTCGCAAATACAATATTCTCCCATATCATTATGAACAATCAGAGAAAAAATTATATGTTCAACTCGGCAGCAAAGTAGATTGACTGCCTTAGCTGGATTCCTAGCCTCGCTACGCTCGGCTATGAATTCAGCCACGGCAGTCAATCTACTACTTTGCTGCCTAGTTAAACAAATAACTATTCTTAATTAGTTACGTGTACATATTTGTTCAAATTTTGACGAACAATTTTGCTTGAACAAAAGTAATGACCAGTTCTACATGAGTTCTATGGATGGGCAAGTGGACCTTTTTTTATTTAATAGAATCATCACTCAATTATCTCCCGATTTCCTGTGACGGAAAGAAAGTTCAACATTTCATCTCTGTTGACAGGTTGCAAAATGTCACTCTTCAAAAAGTGAGTACTTTACTAATAGCGTTTTCCACTCGTCGCACTAGCTCGCACTTTTTTGACACTGAGCGCATTTTACGTGGTCCACTGAGAATTTCAAGAGCGATTTTTTGTCGAAAATATTCGAAATTCGAATGATTATAAATTTTTCATTGAAGTATATTCCAATAATTTCCGAAATCATAGATGCTAGAGATACTATAGCGATGATGAAAAAATGATATATGGTTGAGATACAGAAGTACTTCGTTAGATAAATAGAATACACCGAGAATTAAAAATTACCTATAAGTTATAAAAAACTATTCAGATGTGCAGGTATTGAAAACAAAATGTTGATTCAATAATGAAAATAATGAACTCAAAAGTATTATCAGTAATCAAACTTTTTGATTGACAACACAATTCTGACACTTCTGACAAGGACAAGATGGTCGCACCCAAAAGTCGCACCAACTCCCGATTCTATTCCAATACTGACTAATGTGAGTACCGTTGGCAAAGTACATTCCTTGAGTGTGAAAAAAATATATACGATTCGTATGTACTTCCTCTAAAGTTCAGTGGAAAGATAAAAAATCAAACTATCATGAACGATTTTTTTGTTATTTCAAAGTGTGATGCGCTTCACCCCGCATTTTGGGGTGAAGTGGATCCTCGACCTTTCAAATGTCTGAAAAATCACTTCAACATGTCAATGGGTGGACAGGAGCAAGGGAATTCATTTTGAAAATATAAATTTATTACTTACAAAAAAAACGAACAGAAGTTCATGAAAATAGCTATCAACGTCTCTAGGAGGTGAATGGGACTGCGAACTGTTGTTCGGACGCCCTCTCCTCATACTCAGCCGTCCCCTCTTTACAGCTTTCAAAGCCCTTCCTGAAAAGTTTCTCTTATAATTGCGATTGCCTTCTGGCACCTTTGTTCTACATTTTTTCATGAACTATCGGCATATTTTCTTCACTTCACATATGAGCCGCTCCGCCCTGTAACAAGAGTGATCTCATTCGTTTTTTTGTCATAACTTTTTGAAAATATGACCGAAACATTCAAGATCCAGTTCAAACGATTGACAACATACGTACTTGTATATGTTAGTTTCCCGTTTTTTCTGTTTCAGAATCTCCGTACGAATATCGCAATTATCCTAAAAGTAACTTATTGTTCACTAAGATTGATTCTCTAAAATGTTACAATATGTATACACAGAAGCTGAATTGGACATTGTCAATAAAGCTTATGGTTGCTGTTTAGCAACATACATCCAATTAATCATTCCAGAATTACGTCATTTGACAGGTTGCTGAGGGGCAAACATTGTATTTTGTCAAGATGTGTCATATAAAACCAGAATTAGTGAGATCGTTTTCCTTGGAATCCAAGTTGGAACCAGAAAGAGTTTCATAATTTTGTTTGGTGAAACAAGGGTGAAACTGTTATTATATTGTGGATGTGGTAGGGATGGCCAGGGCTATGCTCATCAAAGGTAACCTAACAGATAGTTTGTGTGCCCCTCAAGAAACCATGTCAAAATCACGTGTTCTAGAATGATCAATTTATAAACAAGCTGATGGGTTGTCATCCTTTGGCTTGAAGCTTAAAACTTTGCGTTCGTGCAGAAGTGATAGATATGATGGAATCAGAAGTGAAACATATATTATATCATAATCATCGTCATAAAATCAACAGATAGTTCAAATATTCGTAGGTAATATCCCGAGATCATAATTCCATCGAGAGTACCTTGTATTCTGACTTCTGACAATTTGATGAGACCAATGAACATTAATAATCTAAATAATTCGAGAGCTTCAGCTCGAGGGAGTTATTCTATGATTATTAATGTTCATAATATGGTCGAATTGAATTGTCTCGAGATACAATAAGGTACTCGAGATGGATTTAAAGAAAATAATAGTCTCTATTTGTCATGGTCGAGTTATATTCAGGAATAAGATTATTGCAAGACCGGTATTAAAAACAATAAATTTAAAGTTCTTTTCCACTTGCGGAAAATATTGCAGGCTACGCTCTTTTAATGCATTATGCGCATCCCTGGCACCTTTGAATTCGATATCTTCGAATGCATTTATCCTAAGACTTTGTTCAGGGAAGTATACTTCCTGTATAGTTTCCCATATTAATTCATATTCCTCACCATAGTCTTCACCCTATCTTCCAGGATTTTGTCGATCCCGAGGGTTGGGGTAGAGTCGTACAAAATTCATAATTTTTCGGCTGGCAAAAAAACAGAAATTGTTGAAGTGCCACACTTCACGCCCGGAAATCCGGGCGGTAAAGTGCTAGTGTATTTAATAATTTCTGGCTATCATTTACTCCGCGAACACATTTGTTTTGCCAGGAACGGAATAAAATACAATATGGAATGAAAACTAATGGAAATCATGCAGAAATATTATAAAAACGCAAATAATCAACCCAAACCTGAACTAACGCTAGCGTTAAAATATTGGCCGATTTCGTCTCTGAGAGAGGCAGAAGTTGGGCCACTTGCTAAGAGATTAAGTTTGCAATTTGCATGGTTTGCTTGTTTGCATCTTAGCATCTTACCCTCGTATACATGTGCAAATCGTTGGCGCTGGCTGCCAGGATCGTCCTGTCATGCCCACGAATTCAATCTGACCTGAAATGAAGCATCTAGAGACAAGGTGCAATAAATAACCCGTGCGGGAACAAATTTTTCAGAAAACTTCAGGTCATCATCTGACGTTGCGATCAAGGCTCGTTGCGATGACATGAGAACTACGGGAAAACATGTCTAACTTTCGGAGTTAGGTATGATCTTAGATCATACAGGAAGTATGAGCCCGTAGGCTTCATATCATCGCAACGTCAGATGTTGACATTTACCGAGAGTTGCACTATGCCGCGACAAAGAACGCTGAATATAGCGTTAATCTTCTTTGGCCGCGATCCGCGATGCCTCATTTCAGGTGGTTGAGTTCTCGCCTCATCATGATTCATGACGCATGCGTATATCGTGTGACGTTTGACGTTTTTATCATAAACAAATATTAATATTTTCATGCTGATTTTTCATTCTCTGAATCTCTGTTGTTCCGAACTCCTGAGTGTCTCTCAAAGGAGCTCAATTTTCTATATAGTTTCTCCTGGATTTTTGTGTTTGGATGCTGTTGTGCGTATGTGTCGACCTGAGGTGTCGACCTGGTGTCGACGTACGTCCTTGGCGTTCGCGCTTCATTTTATGGCTTATACTAGTCTAACTTGCTAACGGAGGAGCCGCCGAAATTACCCGAACGTACACCGAAAGACGGCAGTGATGCCAAATGAGTCAATAACTCGTGGAATCAAGTCTACACGAAATTTCCTGAATAAAAACAAAACTGAAATCGAATATGAGGGAGGAAATAGTAGATTGTGAAACAAGTGGGGAAAGTTCAACTTTTCTCACGAGTGATGCAAACACACGAGTGAGAAAAGTACTTTTTCCCACATGTTGCACACTATACTTTTTCTACAACTGCACTTGTTCAAAGAATCCAAAGTAATGTGAATATTGGTACCTATTCATTTTATCATGTGGCACTATGCCACATTGAATATTATGACCAAAAAGTAGACGCCTTTCATAATTCTTCAAAGTATTTCAAAGAAGTTCACTTTCCGAAAAAGATTTCATTTCTGTATTTTCTTTAATTCCATACATTTTTCGTATATACCAATTCTTACTTTTTTCTTGAAATTTCCGTGAACAAATCCAACTTTCGCAGCTTTTTCCATTATCTCTGTCTCTGGCGGTGTATTTATCAAAATCGTCACATCTCGGTATATACATCATATTATTTATTATGAATGGTTGGAATAATATTTGATGGAAAATGCGATTTCTATCAATAGCACTAATGAGAACTACCTACCCTAAAGAATTCAAAAAACTTCTTCTGACAGTTGTGACAACTATTCAAAGCTGAACAGCAGCTAATTAAGTTTTGGTCGATTTCTGTTGATTTTCCATGGAAATGTATATATTTCTCACAGTATGGGCAATACATGGTTTTGAAACTAAGTAAGCTATGAGAAATGCGCTACTTTCCATAGCAGTAGTAGAAAAATATATTTTCTGCATAACCATCAAGAAGGAGACTACCTTTCCCAAACACCTAACCTAACCTGTCGGCCTAAAATAACTTTCTTCCTAGAAAGTATGTTTTTCGGAAAAATTACTTGAGGAAACAAATTGGAAATTTATGGAGACTGTTCATCCTAAACGCACTAACCTATTTGACTTAAAATATATATTTTCTGAGGAAGGATAACCAGAATGAAGTGAACAATAAGCATCGGTGAAAAAAAAAAGTTGTGAAAAAAAGTTTTGATCGGTTCACAGCGACTCGCACCATGGACCTTCAGACTGAGAGTCGACAGCACACAGCACTAACTACTGGACAAAGACTTTTGAGTATATGAATTCACTGCATACGCGAGAATGACAACGGGAGCGCTTCAGTCGAATTCGTGTCGAAATCACGTCGAAATCGGATGACGCATCAGGCGCGACCGGAAGAAATATCCCTTCTGCATGAGAAAGAAGGAAGGAGGCCACTTCGGAGGTCAAAACTAGAGTCCCTGTATATTCCTTAGACAAGAGTCCGGACACAGCTATACTTCTGTCCTTTTCTGTTTTCAAAAAATGCATTGATGATTGAATAAAGGAATAAGACATATATTTCGAGCTCTGTCTTTTCAATTCCCCTAGTATCAATGATTGTCAGAAACAATTTTGAGGGTTAGATTATTTGTCAAACCGTACATAGCCGTAGATAGAAGTGAGAAACAGGGCTATTTTAACTAGAATAATTATTAAATTTTCAAATAATGAACAACAGGGTGTTCAAATTTCGAATCGATAATTTTCATAATAAATTCCTGAGATGGCTATTGCAAATTTTCGTCATCAGATATTCCTTCACTTTATTAGATATAAGGAAGATAATTTAAGTGTTCTACGTGGTATCACATATAGCCAAGAAAATATAGTTGTTTTCTGTTAGGATATAAAAAAATAAGAGATATATAATTGTTTCAATATAATTTTCTCCGATTCTCTCCATTCAATAACACTCATCAGAAATAAAAGTGACAAAATCAAAACAACAATATACTTTTTTGATAGCGAGTGCTTTATTAATTGTGTCGGTTTCCCACCTCTTCCTGCAGTCTACATTCACCTGTAAATTTTGAATTTGATCTGAATTAAAAACACCGTGGACTGATGACATAGCACATTGCAGTTTCTCTAAATCTTCTAGTTTTGATTTCAAACTTTCAATTTCTTTCCGCATCATCTCATTCTCATTTTCTTTCTCTGCGATCGTATGATTCAGTAATTTTCAATACGATGACGACGGGACTCTTTTTTTGAGCGTCTCTATTTCATAAATTGATGGCACAGCAGACTCTTTGAATTTGAAATCCATCAGCTTGAAAGAATCTCTATCAAAATGGGCCTAAAATTCTTCTTTTTTGTACTGTTTTTACAAGTAAATTTGAATATTTACCTCACATATTGCGGATTTCTTGAAATTAATTTTTCATTCTGGACGTTTCATTGCATTCTTCCATGATCATTCGGAAAATTGAATAACTTGAATCCCTTTTCTAATGAATTATCGCAATAATGTAGGCAGCAGGACATTGAAATAATTTAAAATTTCAAAGTGACAGTGACAGAAATTCGAAATAATTTTAAAAAAGCGGGCGGACGACTATGGTGTTTTGTCACATTATCAGGTGGGCAAACCAAATGAAACAAAATATTAAAAACCCCAACGGCTGTCAGTTTTGTGTCCGGACTCTTGTCTAAGTCAAAACATAAAAGACATCGAGAATAAAAGTACTAGGGTCCCTTGATGGAAATTGACGTTAAAGTCATCTTTACAGGGTACGGACAGATCATAGCTGCATTCTTTTTTAATGATCTAGAGATTTTAGTTTTGTCTACTGGCATCCCTGACATTGCTGTCACGTCACATCCATGGGCGCTACAGAAAATCATTCAAAATTTTAATAATAGGTATGTACAGGGTATTTACTTGTTGAGGAAGATCATATGGCGAACGAGTTTTGTAATTATGATCCGATTCTATTCAAAATTGGAAGGTACGTGGGGTTTTCCGGGGTTGGAGATGATGATTGTTTCGTGAAACTTGGAAAATTCAAGATGACGGATCCAATATGGCGAAAGACATTAGTTTATATAATTATTACTCTACCACCAATAGAAAATATGTAGGATGCAAGAGTGAAAATAACGACGTGCCTATAATTTATACGCGTATACTTAGCGTATACCTACTTCGTTGTTACTTTCATCAATAAATTATTCGAAATTGACTTTAAAAGAGACGGAAAAATCATGTGTATAACATGGGGGTGAAGTATATTCTATTCTTCATTTTCCTGCACATTTTACTGTTTAATTTTTATCAGCTTACTTTTCGTCCTAGACGAAGTTTTATACATGGTGTGATATTAGTAACTCCATAAATCCTTCTCCGAGTTGGGATTTCTGAAAATATATTTAGCATACATGACATGAGTACAGTAGTCAAGATACCCATATCGAAGCTTCCACTATTTCTCAATCATAAGGCACAGTTCATATGGATAAACTACTGCTCAGCTTGAAATCAGAATTCATTCAGTCAATTCAGTCAACCCTGGTAAAAAGTCTAAGAACAGTCTCTTTTGTTGAAATATATTAAGCTTTTAGTACAATTTATATGTTACCTAAATCGCGAAGATTATGCTGGAGTAGTAAACTCTAAAACTAGAGGATTGTTCATCTATATCTTGGTATAGTTGATTTAGGAATTCCATATGGGAATTACGTATGATACGCCAGTGACCTCAATATAACCTAAAAAACAACGAGTGTCAAAAATCTAGTGTTTATCCCCAGAATTGAATAAGGATGGAACTATATAACTGTTTCACAAACACTTTAGAGTGAGAGGAGACGAGGATCTGTCCGTACCCTGTTAAGATAACTTTAACGTCAATTTCCATCAAGGGACCCTAAAAAGTACCACTAACAATAATCAACAATATCAAAAGTGCAACACTTGGCATCACTGCTTGTCGTTCGGTTTAATTTCGGCGGCTCCTCCATTAGCAAATTAGACTATAGTCTTAGCTTGCTTCGTGTGTTTTGGGAGGCTCAAGGTGTAAAAATGTAAGAACCCTTTATGTATTTTTTAATATTTATCAATTCGAATTGTGTTTATTTTGTGTTTTGCATTATACAATGGAAATGATATTGATAACCAGCAATACTAGAACATATACGGGCAACACATGAAATATGCCATTCTCCATAGGCATTTAATGAAAATATGTCAACATAACCTATTGTTTGTGCATTGAACTGTTTTTAATCAATCTGAAAATTATTACATTTCTTTCAATTTAAATTTTTCAGATGGGTGATACTAGTGACTTAGACAGACAAATAGAACAACTGAAAAGATGTGAGATTATAAAAGAAAGTGAAGTCAAAGCACTTTGTGCCAAAGCTAGAGAAATATTAGTGGAAGAAAGTAATGTACAAAGAGTGGATTCCCCAGTTACAGTAAGTTTATTTTCCATGAGATGAAGAACTTTATATTTCCACTTATATACTATACTATATTTGTTTAGGTGTGTGGAGATATACATGGTCAATTCTATGATTTGAAAGAACTATTCAAAGTTGGTGGAGATGTTCCTGAAACCAACTATTTATTCATGGGGGACTTTGTAGACAGAGGATTTTATAGTGTAGAAACGTTTTTGTTACTTTTAGCTCTTAAGGTAAATATACATTTCATCATTATAGTAATCTCCACAGGGGATATTTCATGAAAAAGTTGCAAATTTCACCTTCTTTTCCGCCTGTCTTTTGGATCACATTTAGAACATTATTCACCCTCCTTATTTCATCAGTGGACAATTTATATATCACAATGTACTTCAATGACACATTTTTTTTTCTATTATATGAGAACTAGAAAATGATATTCTTGTAATTCATATTTAGTGGAAAGAAGAAAGAATATCATTTAAAATAATTGGGTGTGTAATATCATTCAGAAGCAATCTGTATTGACATTCAACATCTTGTATTTGGATTTACTATTGATTAAATGGCCGTTATCTGGTATGATTATTCACTAAATATGAAAAACTTGCCATAAAAATCATATTTCCTGTTGAATTTTTTATATAAAATTTTGTCATTGAAGTAGGTACATCATGAGTATAAGTGTCCAATGACAAAATAAGAAGAGCAAGTACCTGTAAATGCATCCAACACAGTGGGAAAAAGAAGGCTAAATTTTATGAAATATCTCAATAAATAGTGGTTTGTTCACATTTTCGTTATCAAATTTGTATTTTTCAGACAAAAATCCAATATGTACCAAAAAAAATTTAAAAAAAAAACAGCACATGATAAGTGCAGTTTTACCAAAATATACTATTATAATCCTGCAAATAAAATCTTGTACCAATATGAGAATGAATTCTAGAGTGATATACTATTTTTCATTTTTCTTGTAGGTTAGATATCCAGATCGCATAACTCTGATTAGGGGGAACCATGAGTCTCGTCAAATTACCCAAGTATATGGCTTTTATGATGAATGTCTTAGAAAATATGGTTCAATAACTGTTTGGAGATACTGCACAGAAATTTTCGATTATTTGTCCCTATCAGCAATCATAGATGGAAAGATATTTTGTGTGCATGGAGGTTTGTCACCATCTATCCAGACCTTGGACCAAATTAGGATTATTGATAGGAAACAAGAAGTGCCACATGATGGACCAATGTGTGATTTATTATGGAGTGATCCTGAAGGTATATACATATCAATCAAATTAAAATATACTTCATTCTGGAAGAATACAGTCATTCCCATTGACAAAGCATAAAAATATTGCATAGCATTGAAGAAACATGAACATAATATCACTAAATATTGAAATGTCATGATGGATTTAATAAAAAAACACAGAATATAAAAGCATACATCCAGTCAAGACAAATAGTTCAAAATGATCAGGTACCTAATCAAAATGTATTCCCATTATTCTTCCTGTTCTGTTCTATAATGAAGTTACTATAATTCAAGAAAAAGTTTGAACACAATTCGGCAACGCAGCATTTTTACACACCTGAGAAAAATCAGAAGGCAGTAGAGTAGTACATGGGTAGTACCTACACATCGGTGTGTATAGTTCCGTTGATAGAAATGAACTTTTCCAAAAACTAAACGACAGATTGCTGGGTTTCGGCCAGCTGGTCCTTATCGAGCAAATTGATAGTGTAATCACTCAACTTTGTAATCCTGTTTTCCCTTCCCTCTCAAAAACCCTGTTTTTCCAAGTGAAAGAAGAACCGGACCATAAGAGAGTCAACTACCAAAAAACCGGTGAGTACAAAAATTGATGTTACGAAGGAACATTTTGGTCCTTCGAGCCGGATACTCATAAAAAATCAGTTGAATCGTAAACGGAAAATATTTATCGGAAAATATTTATCGGAATTCATTCTATCATCTCCTTTACTTCAACGTTCTTTTTTTTGGAAAAAAATTGTGTACACCGATCGGTCGGCGCACAATTTCTTGTTGACGTTGAAGCAGGTAGAGAATGCAAGGTTGTCGGATTGTGGAAAAGTCGGGGTTTAGGAAAAGTTCATGTTCGGTTTATTTCAACTAGGAAAGCGGTTTCTGATTTAATTTAACGGAATTTATTTTAGGTCGGTGATTTATTCGAGCACTTTTGATTTTTAATTCGCAGATATGACTACCTCGGAAAGGGAATTGAAAAAACTTATTGCAAAAAAAGAAAGTTTGTTTTGCATCTTGCAGAAGTTATAGGATGTGTGTAAAGATTTGTCTACGGAATCATTGAGTTCAAAATTCCGGACGTTGATGATGACGTATGAGGAAACGAAAAATAACATTTATTCGGTATTAGATGAAATTGATAAAGTACAGTTTGAAATCAAGGCAGATTACACTCCAGATTATAGAGTTATACAAACCACAAATGAACTTTGCTGTTACATTCAAGCGGCGGCAGAAAGAATTAAACTACCTAGTAATGCTTCAGTAAATAATGAGAGTTCTAGTACTAGTGTTGGCAGTGGTGCACCATCTTTACGTAGTTCTTTAAAAATCCCAGATGCTAAGCTACCAGAATTTTACAGGGAAATTCGTCAGTGGGAAACCTTTCACGCGGTTTATAAGAGTATGGTTCATTCGAATCCAAATTTGACAAATCTTTTTTATTATTTATATGTCTTAATGTATTATAAAAGGTTTGGTTCTCATTTTGGTTATGAAACATACAGAACACAGAAGTGAATAATCAGTTCTCAGTTATCACTATAATGAATTACAATGACAACACCACTTTTAATAGTCCATTTGCTTGCCTATTGCTTTAATATTAATCACACTTTATAACAGTTGTTTTGTTTTTCCAAGGGAATAGTCTAACAATCCAGAAAATTTCATTCTTGCAAACACTTGCAAAGGTTATTGAAAATTTAGTCTGAAAAAGATTACTGGCATTTTTAAAGAGAAATAATTTGATTCATCCAAATCAATTTAGGTTTCAAACTCCCACAAGCATCAATCATGCAATGTAACACGTCAAACGTACTTTACTATATGGATTCCAAGGCATCATTCTACAGTGGTACAAATTCAGTACAAATCACATCTGTCTGGACCTTTCCAGTCAGTAACTTTAGATAGTGAACATTCACAGACTTGAAGTTACTTGCGGTGTTCTACAAGGTCCTGTGCTTGGCCCCCTACTATTTTTGTTTTATATAAATGATTTCCTAATATTTTTTTATCACTTGTTGTGCATGAAAGGGAATCATTAAGTATAACTTGGTGTTCTTGGCTGGAACAGTAATATCAGATAAGAAGTTTCTAGGACTAATAATTGATAGCTATGCTCCAGAATAGGTTCCAATGATAATTATCAATTGCACAAATTGCAAAAATAGCTATCTTCACTTGTGTAATCCAAAACATATAGATTTTTGCAGATTCCATTTTGAAGCTCAAAATTTGACCATTGACGGACGCATGATGTCCTTGGAACATTATAGGAACTTCCTTTCGTGCGCTCCAAGAGATGAAAAAATTAATATTCATACACAAAACAGTCTCATGAACAAGCAATAGAGCATTGTCAGTGACGTCATATGACGTAAAATTGTCGGTCATTGAACAGCTGATGGGGGGACAAGCATACACATTTTCCATAAGGGTACATGTAACTTTCTTGCACATTTACCACTAAAATACAATACCTGGAGCATTTATTTATTGACATGTTTGTTAATTCATTCATCATGAATCCTGTGAGAGAACTGAATGGGTCCAAAGAAGAGTTCAAATTGGTTTATTTGTCAATTTTAAATTACTGGATTTACTTGAGTTCAGCTCTAATATACCTCGTAATATACCTCAATAGATACTCATTTTGGAAGAAAATGTACACATTCTTCTTGTATAATATCTACAAGTTCAACAAAATCACCAATGGGTCAGAAATAATAAAATCAAAATTCACACACAGCTTTGTTTGTCCCCCGATCATGCAGCTGATGAAAACGACGAGTGCAACATGTTGTGACGTCAGCAGACATTGCTCTATTTAGATCAACTTTTTTTTTAAGTAGTCCCCAGTATATTATGACAAGAGGAATCTACAATATTTCTCTTTCTACAAACATCAATGGATATGAAAAACTCCGTATAATGTAGCAGTCAATAACTATTGAACCAAATTCCCAAAAAGAATAGGCAAATGGGGAAGACCACTGAGGGTTGAAATCCATTCTAACCTCTTCCAATTGATGAATCATGATTTACATTTAAGGTTCAATTAATATCATGAGTTGAAGCATTGTCGTTCTAGATGACAACCTAGTTAGGTAGTTAGTAGGCAGGAGCTATAATACCCTGAAAATTACCTGCAATATTATCAAGTATTGTTTTCCCTACATTATATTTGGAGCAGTGATTGTGGTGATTGAAGAAACTTCTCTGAGATCGAGAGAATTTGTTTTACCTGGAAATGAACATATTATGAAACCTGTCTTACTTGAAAGAATCATGAACTAGTGTAACTTAGAGTCACTGGATGTTATTAGTTTGTACAGTTTCACATACAATAAGGAATTATAGCTATAAGTTTATCCATATGTGTATATTTTTTAATATTAAAATGTTCTTACATGGATTCTTTTCATTTATATAACAGTTGTTCTGCTAGAAGTGTATAAATTGAAGTGGGTGTTTGTACCCTATACGCATGGTCCATCTACGGCTATGATAGGTTTGACAGAAAATATAACCTCTAAAATCGTATTTGACAATCAGGCGCTACTAGGGAAATTGAAAAGACAAAGAGCAGAATATATGTCTTGTTCTTTTATTCACTTAAACCATTGTATTATAGAAAATAGAAAAGGACAAAAGTTCAGCTGTGTCCGAACTCTTATTAAACAATACCATCAAGTCTAGAGTCACTGAAACTCACGATGAAAAAGTCTTCTAAATGTCTTAGTTTCAAAAAGTTTCGTTTTTCGTCAATTTAATTTGATTTTTTGACACCTGTCAACAGTCATTCCACATCATTCCTTGTAGTGAGATGGAATGAAAAGTAGCAACCGGAATCGGAAAAGTTGCAAATAAAACGACACATCAAACTGATTCCGGTGGCGGAATCGGATAAATAAAACGCAACTAACATAATACATGTACTAGTTAGTCCTTTGACTTACGAGGTCTTGTAAATAAAATAGATATTTTCACAGATACACAAGGATGGGGTGTTTCACCTAGAGGAGCTGGATACTTATTCGGCTCAGACGTTGTTGCGCAGTTCAATGCTGCAAATGATATCGATATGATCTGCCGGGCCCACCAACTTGTAATGGAAGGATTCAAATGGCACTTCAACGAGACTGTTCTCACAGTATGGTCTGCTCCAAACTATTGCTATAGGTGAGTTTCATTTTCATTTATATTGTTGCTACATTTTCCATATTTCTGAAGGATCATTATTTAAAAAATGGTTTATAAATACACTCACCAGCCATGAAAAAAACCGGCCAGAGAAGAACTTTTCCAAATTGATCGTTCTGTTACTTTTCTAATTTATGTCTGATTTTAGTGAAATTTCAACCAAGTCATGAAGTTATGTTTCCAATAGTCGGAATTTCGTTTCCCGATAAAAGCTGATGGCTTGATCGTTACACAGGGAAAATTGAAAATTACTATCACCCTCAAATTCTCAATGCCCCGTGGCAAAAAAAGTAAGCGATTTAACTTGGCTTTATCGTGTTTTAGATTGAAGTATGATCCCTTCTCAACAATGATTTTTGGTTAAAGTCAATATCTTCTCTTTGAGAGAAGTACAAGTGTTTTTCTGCAATCGGCTCTAAAGTCGTCCATTTTTGTTCCGAAATTAGCTCATGAAGTTGACGTTTCTCTTACTGACACATTGAAATGATTCGTATTTAGGTTGCTAGGCAACTCTTTTAGTTTCTAGGAGCTAAAGTTGAAGTTTAACTCCTAGGAACTAAAAACGTGTCGGATGACAGCTGATATGATAGCTGCTTTGACACTGACATGCTCAAGTGACTCAAAATAGTAGAAATTTCACTTATATTTTATTAAATCTACGCTCACTGGTACAGAATTGTACCATTGAACATTGAGGGTCAAACTCAGGCTATTTCGAATTCAAACGTCGACCATAATGGTAGTTATGCATGAACGTGATACAATGGTACGTCCGCTGGTCGATTGAATAGTCAAATGTTACACAGGATGCGTTACAGTTGGTTGTACACGAGCGTCTGGTCGAATAAGCTACCAACGGGCATTTGTGTCCAAATAATACATTATTTTCTGCAACCGACACAAAAGTCGTCCATTTTGATACCAAAATTAGCTCTTAAATTGAAGTTTCTATTACTGACACAAAAATAGGTAGGTTGCTAGGCAACATATTTAGTTAATAGGAGCTAGAGATAAATTTTAGTTCCTAGGAGCTAAAGTTGAACTTTAGCTCCTAGGAACTAAAAAGGAAGTACTGGACGTCATCAAGAATGAACAACATTGTGACGGTTGGTTATTTGGGTTGAGACGCATACCTGATTTGTTTCCGATTTCAGCAGATTTGGAATTTCATACCCATGCTGGAGATATAAATACACCTTATTATAGTTTAGTATTGGAATTATAAACATCTCAGCTAAGTATTTTTGTTTGATCAGGGAAGCCTTCAAGATTCAAATATTTGCTTGATCTGTATTTCATTTGTTATTCTCGGAATGGATAACTTGTTTTTAAATAATCACGGCAAGCAATAGTTTTTTGTCTCAAACAACGATATTGTTTAGCTTCATTTGATTATGAAGCGAAAAACATTGTATTATAGATAGGAGTAAATAATCGCCATTATCATTGTTCAATGTTGATATGCTCATTAACCTAACATTTTCCACGTCTTGTTTCCTATAGCTGGCACTGGCGCGGTATTTGCTATTAGAGCACCTGGTCCATACACAAATATGTCACTCTGTGATTGTACTTATATTGAAACTACAATTCGAACATCCTTGAAAATTGAATGAACCTGCTGTTGATGCAGGTAGAATGTTCTCACTACACGGATTATTTGTCAATATTTGATGCATTGCATACATATGGCACGGCATTGGTGGTAACTTCACATATTTATTTGAGTTAATTGTTTCGGTTGCAGAAAAAATAGCATGTTTCATTCGGATCAAAAGTGACTTTGTTCGACTCGCAAATTTTGCTTTCGCTCGGCTTCGCTAAACGCTCCGCCTCGCAAATGCAAAATTCGCTTGTCAAACAAAGTGTCACTTTTGATCCTAATAAAACAATCTACTATTTTGTGTTCACCCAATGTCATTGTCATTTTTGATTACCTTCTTCTGCCTAGGCAGTAAAAATACACCTTTTATGCCTGTAAAGTGTCAAAAGTCACTTTTATTGTAATTTGATGAAAAAAAAACGCAACTACAGAATACAAACAAAATGCAGACTTCCGAGATATAGTCAATAACTAGAACGCCCTCCTGGAGCTATTTATTGATAAAAATCAAAAAATTCCATACCTTCTATAAAACACTTATATCTTCTCTTTGAGAAAGAAAGAAAGAAAGAAAGAAAGAAAGAAAAAAAGAAAGAAAGAAAGAAATAAACTTTATTCACTACTAGAGATTACAATGCCCCTTACAAAGAAATCCATCAAGAGAAAGACAAGTAAGAAAAAACACTGGTTGATCTCAGCAACAAGTCAAAAGAGTATACAAAAAAGAAACATTACTTATATGAAGACAATCCTCGACAGAACGACAGAAAAACATGTACAAACATTATGAAATATGCAAATATATAGAGTAGAGTAGAGTAGTGTAGTTTATTTAACCATGTTACATTATACAGATAAGTTTATGGCAGGTCAGAGAAGTACAGTAGGGACTATTTTTACAACAAGTTAAAATTATGACACTCAAATGTAATAAAATTGCATTAAAATTGTTTATGAATGTTTCACATAAATCTTAAAAGTAAACAGTGAATGAATTACGAGAATAGTTGATAATTAAAAGTTATACAGATAAAAAATAAATATATATATATATATATATAGATAAACAAAATTAAATATTTAACAGTGACCGACCGAAGTGCTAAATAAATAGAGTTTATACTCTGAGAGAACTGGCTATACGGAGGTATTCTGGTATATTGTAAAAACAGTTTTCAACAAGAAACTTTTTGACAATTATCTTGAATTTTTTCAATTCCAATGATTTAACTGAACTATCAAGAACTAAATAAATAGAGTTTATACTCTGAGAGAACTGGCTATACGGAGGTATTCTGGTATATTGTAAAAACAGTTTTCAACAAGAAACTTTTTGACAATTATCTTGAATTTTTTCAATTCCAATGATTTAACTGAACTATCAAGAACATTCAATTTGTATAAATTGAGATTCAAAGAATTATGTTGGCTGACAGCTAGTCGGTGTCGTTGAAGATTTAGCAAATCTGCAGATCTAGTGTTGTAATTGTGTATGTCGGAGTGTTTGTGAAACTTGTTCAAGGTACTGTGTATTTCCAGCAGAACAGTAAATAGGGTAGGGAGAGGCATAATACCAAGTTGATCGAAAAACCGTGATGGCATTGCTAGAGTTACCCCAGAGAAGGATGCCATAGGATATAACCGAATGGAATAAGGAGAAATAAGCTACTTTCAGTATATTAATATTAGTAATTGGTTTAAGTTGTCTCAATACAAATAGAACTATTGATAGCCTAGGAAGCACATATTCTACATGACAGGACCAATTTAAACGATCATCGATTATAATACCCAAAAAAGATACCTTCTGTCCATTTTGATAAAGAGGATTAGAGGAGACTATTAAGTTTTGAGTCTTCTTCTCATTCAATTTGAGTTTGTTTTGGGCGAACCAGCTTTTAGCCATATTTTCTGCGTAACCAGCAGTTTGAGTTAAGGTGGCATGTATGTTATTGGTGCATATTAAAGTCGTGTCATCCGCAAATAGGATGCATTTTATAGGTGCAATAGACTGACATAGGTCGTTTATATATACGAGAAACAGAAACGGTCCAAGAACGGAACCCTGAGGTACACCATGTTTGATTTGTTTGAGTTCTGATTTGTCAGACACGTATGGAAAATACATAGTGATAATCAATTTAAAATATACAGATGTACAGTTCACAAGTATGTAAGATTAGGAAATCCACAAAATAATTTGAACATATACCTACAGAAAAAAAAAAACATTTCAGGAAATCTTTGATTCACAGAAGTTTTGCACTCTCAGTAAACTCTCCTGTCTAAGTATTCATCTACTGTGTAAGGCTCTAAATCAATCAGATAGATATTTAATGACTTCATAAACTTGATAATGTGCCCAGCAATGGTTTTTAGTACTTGGGGCACTGGGGCAGATGGTTGAAGAATTTGAGTGCACTATAAGTTGTACCTTTCTCCATAGATCCTCTATTATGTATAGGGAAGTCATAATCACCTTTATGTCTTGTGCTATGGAAATGGCTTTTTCTATAAGGTTCGAAGTATTGTGGATGCTTCATTAGAAATTGAAGTGTTTCCAAAATGTAAATAGCAGGAACTGTAAGCAAACTGTTCGCTTTGAAGATCCCACGACATGAGTTTCTAACTTTGATATTAAACATGACTCGGACAAACTTAAGAGATGAGTAAAAATTTGCAAGCATACTGTAAGAAGGACAGAGTTATCCACATTTTGCTTCATTATCCTAATGGCGAAGATAGATGAAGCTAATCTTTTACATAAAACCTCAATATTGTTTGTTCATTTCAGAGTCGCATTAACGGTGATGAAGGAATTTCACTGAATTGCTATAAGTCAATATTTGATTGTCTATAGTCAAACTCGAGTCAAGTCTTGAAAAAAATACAATTTGTTTTGGCATTATTCAATAACAAATTGTATTCAAAAAAATATGCTCTTACTCTATTTATTGTTGTATTTCCACCATGAGTGAAGTGCGGCATGTCTGGGCCATTTAGTAAAATATTTGTGTCATCTGCAAAACATACCAGATCAGGGATCAGTAAGAATATTTTCAACATCATTTACGAAAATTATAAATAATATAGGTCCAAGGACACTCCCCTGAGGAACCCTATGAGGCACCTCCAAGGCCTCAGAGCGCTCGGTAATACCATCGTTTCTTAGCCCCACAAGTTGTTTTCTCTCTTAAATACGATTTAAACCAATCATATGCCTTTCCTCTTATTCCATATTTGAACAACTTGTAGAGTAAAAGTTCATGATCTATGCAGTCAAAGGCCTTGGAGAGGTCCAGGAAAATCCCACAGGAGAGATCTCCTCCTTCCATTGCTTTCAAAATCTCATTGGTTAAATTGAACAGTGCTGTGTCAATAGACCTATTTTTGAGATATCCATGTTGACAAAATGAATATAGTTGAAAAGTTTCAAGAGAAGATATCAATCTCCTGGCCATAATAATCCCAAATATCTTTGAAAAGCATGTCAAGATGCTGATTGGTCTGTAGTTAGACATTTCTGAAACATCACCTTTTTTAAATAAAGGTTTGACAAGGGCAGTCTTCCAAATTTCTGGGAAAACTCCCTTCTCAAATGATTTGTTTAATAAATATGTGAGAATTGGAGCTATCTGATGTGAACATCATTTCAAGGCAATAATGGGAATTTCATCTATTCCTGAGCATTTTTTTATTTTTCATATTACCTATTACTGATAATACCTCTTCTTCTGTTACTGGGTATAAAAACAGAGTGTGGCTGTGAATGGGTATAAGTTTGTCGAAAATACAAACATTTGCTTTTGGTTGTGCTTTCAAAATATTTGATATATTTCTAATGAAAAAATTATTGAAATAATTTTCTGTATTTGTTGAAGCTTGTATTGATGATTCCTGATTGCACTGTGTGATAGTCTTTGATTTATCGTCTTTAAAAGAAGATATTCACGCGAATCAAAAACTATTGCATTTAGAAAATGACACACTTCAATCTTGAACACAATGAAGCTGAGTTTAACCACTCACATTTGCGACAGGGTATTAAGAAGTTAAGGGTGAATATGAAACTGTTGTTTTTCCCTGTATAATTAGCTAGCTAACATTCCGGAACATAAATCTACGATTTGGTCGAAATTCCATCAGAATCGGACAAGAATTAAAAAATTACAGGGTGTGATCAATTTGGCTAATATTTTCGTGGCTGATTTTGTTTGCTGCTGATGGTATACAAAATCGGTTGACATTTTTCAGATGTGGTAATGTAGCTGCAATACTAGAACTCAATGAGTGCTTACAAAGGGACTTCACAATATTCGAAGCGGCACCTCAGGAGACGAGAGGCATACCTTCGAAAAAACCTCAGGCGGATTATTTCTTGTAGAAACACATCATCCCCAGTGGTAATTTATCGTTACGTCATACCCCCTATGTCTATTAGATGGATGCCTGAAGTGAACTGAAATTAATTTACTCTTTAGTATTTATAGAATAGGTTACTTCGATTATATAGATAATTTTGTAATATACCAGAGTCCGACAGGGAACCGAAAATACCGATAGTAAACGTGTCAGTGGATAGTGATCATTGAAATGTGTCGGTGGTCCTGACTAAAATACATTTTTCAACTATTTCTTTGATATCTTGTGTACTTTCAGTATGGTTAGTGACTACAGGAAATTGGAATTGTTTGTTGTTGATGGACTCGCAGTGGGTTCCAGCGCCGTTTCAAGCTTTATGGGCAACGATCAACTTTCTGCACACAAAAAACGTTGACATATTCTGACAATCCATTAATTAATCACAATTTCATTAAGAAGGACGTGAACTATCATTATCATGCGGTAAAACTAGACACTTGTCAGTGTGAAAATCTCTACTAGTCCTACTAGTCCAATATTTAACAGTATTTTGAAGTTCTAAGAAGGTTTTTCTTGATGTTTGGATTCAGGTTCGATTTGCGCAAAGTAACCTTGCAAAATTGTTTTTTCCTTTTTCCCTCGCTTTTTCCATTTCAAGTAACATGAACCTTTTTTAAACAAAAATAATATGTCCTACAATGGATGTTATGTGTTATTACTTTTGTATTCATCATTCACAATGTTTCAACTCTTATAGATTACCATTATGATTTAATAAAATTGTCAATGCTCATGGCCATCACCGAAACGTTTTTCGCACTTCAATCCAATTTTCTTTGCTCTAATCAAACCGGAATCCAAACTATTCCATACCCCAAGAGGAAGTTACAAGCAGGATTCAAGAAAACCCCCCCTCAACAGTTTAGGTTTTGCTACAATTTAGAACTCTGGGCACAAAAAGGGTCTGAAGGATACATTATCATCCCTTGGTATAGACCTCTTGATGCAAAATAGTATCTCAAGGGTATATTATCATTCCTCTTTTAGGTCAATTGGTAAGAATGATACTTCAAATCTTCATTGGCCTTCAGTAGAGTTCCTTTATGTATTTGACACTGCTGTTTTGACGTTTTTGTTCACTAAGACACCGAACATCAACTAAAGATAAGAAGGCTCACTTAGCTAAAACTGTTTGAAATAGGCGGCCCGACACCCTTCTTTGGTGCCTCAGTTGAGCGGCGAGTCGCTTTGTGTATACGAGGACTGCTTATTTTGCGGCGTGCATGTTCAGCTGGTAGCGTTTATATAGGGATTGTTCAAAAAAGTAGGTAACCAGATGAATCATTACTTTATTCAACTCAATTATTATCACGGAACTGAATGAGCAAAAGAAAAAAAAACGTGTTGACTAGAAAGACAATGTTAAAA